GAGTCACTCCACACACCTGCCGAGTCACTCCACACACCTGCCGAGTCACTCCACACACCTGCCGAGTCACTCCACGCACACATGCCGAGTCACTACACACCTGCAGAGACACTCTACACCTGCAGAGACACACTACACCTGCAGAGACACACTACACCTGCAGAGACACACTACACCTGCAGAGACACTCTACACCTGCAGAGACACTCTACACCTGCAGAGACACACTACACCTGCAGTCACTCCACACACATGCCGAGTCACTCTACACACCTGCCAAATAATCCTCATCAAAACCAACAGGCTCAAACCACTTCATGTAGCAGACCCGTGCTGGAGGTTCTACCTGGTGGACCGATTTGAGGAGAACATTACAAAGCAGCAGAAACAGAAGTGAACAGAACCTCCCGACCCAACGGCAGCGAGGCGCAGAAAGACTAGCGCCCATCCACAGGACACCTGATCCAGGTGAGCCTCAGGTAGTCTGTGAGTACACATCAGAACACATGCAGTGGTGTTGGCACCAGCGCCGTGGTTCTGCCGGGTCCAGATKTCCACCCTACACCAGAACACCAAGTTTCACTCTACGCCTCTGGTCAGAAGAAAGATTTAGAGGTAGTTTCACATTCTGGAAAGGGATGTTGATTTATAGACAGCAACACAAATAATATAAACCATCATCATCATCACCATCACCATCATCATCATCATCATCATCATCACCATCACCATCATCATCATCACCATCACCATCATCATCATCATCATCACCATCATCAATTAGTGGAAACAGTCAACCACAGGCTTTTGGTAAAAGCTGGTCTTCATCATCTCATGAGTCCTGTGGAGACCAGACTTTCACATTCTCAGTCCAACAGGAGAACCGTCCCATCTCCATGTTCAGAACCTTCCACAGGTCTCCAGAGGAGCAGGAGTCCAGGTCTGGGAGAAGTGGTGGTCTAGGTAACTGGGCTGTGAAGACGAAGGCCGGGTCAGAGCTGGAAACCCTCCACAGGTCCTTCCTGCTGCTGGAAAACAAACTGGCCTTGGTTCTGATCCACCTGTGGAGCCAGGCTAGCATCCTCCACCTCCACGCCGAAGTAGCGCTCGATCAGGTCGAAGGCCTTCTGGTAGATCTCCTGGTTCTCGTGGCTCTGCAGGAACTCGATCTTATCCAAGCCTGTGGGTCAGAACAGACAGAAGGTTTTCACTCTACAAACCCAGTTCAGCAATGAACGGCTCTGTTTGAACGAGTTCCTCTTGTTGCCACTGTGAGTTTGTGTTTGCAGCCGTACCATAAGCCTCCTCGATGAGCGCGCAGTACGAGTTGATGCCGGTCTCATTTAGTTTGGCCTCCTGTTCTCCCAGCCTGAGGATGTTCTCCAGACCGTTCAGAGACACCTGCACGATCTTAGAGTCCATCACCGTCAGCAGGTCACACATGGGTTTGATGATGTTCAGAGACACCAGGTACCTGTTCATACAAACAAAATGAAAATAAAACCTCAACATTTACCTGAGGAGGAACCAGTGTCCATGAAGAGGTTCTGTCCGTGGTCAGAACCTTCATCACTGACTGGAAGACTCCTGCTGCAGATCTCATGTTCAGTGTCTCAGTCTTTCTTTGCTCCATTAGTTGCAATGCTACAAATTATGTAAAGAAATAATCTTTTTTCCCACATTTTTATTCACTATTCAATAATTATTAAATTATTATTATTATTACATTAAACATTACATGTTTTAAACATCGCTATATTCCCACTGTAAAACCAACTTTTCAACAAACTTCTAAGGATAAGAAAAATTAAACCTTTTCAGCTCTCTTAAATAACATTTAATTAAATTGTATTTTAAAATAATGATTGAAAACCAGATTCAACTTTATGATAATGATTTTAAAACATTTATTAGATTTAAATTATGTTTTGTATTTCTTCCTCATCTTCCCCCCAGCTTTCTGAGGCTCCTCTACTGCCCCCTGGTGTATGGAAGCGATTGTGTTCCATAATCCTAATTAAAATGGATTAATAGAAATGCTGTTTCATTTTCAACATGTACCTGATTTTTTTGACTCATAAGTAAAATTATAAATACATAATCCAAACTGTATGTTCATTTTCTTCTCCAAGAC